TAAAGATGTGCTTTTTATCCTTGTAATAGAATTGGAGGCCTACCACTGGCTTTGAAACATGGCCCTTCCAATCATTTTGACGGATATTTATGATCAGCTCTGTGGTAGCCTCATCAAATTGAATAAAGCTATGCATATACACGCTTACATAGTAGGGGTTAAATCCTTACTTTTAGTCATAGAGAATGCGCGAAGATTGAAGCTAAACATGCTCATGTTGTTCTGTCTGGTTGAATTTTACTAAGTGGATTTGGCGTTTTTTTGCATGTTAAAAACTTTTGAACCGCCACTGTAGCTTCCTCTTTCTCTCTAAAAGGATAAGGCACGGCCAAGATAAGTAATCTAGATTCTAGTCTAAAAACCCATCAAAAACCTTATTTAAAATAAAATTCTGATGCTCTAATTTCTTATCAGCAAGTGGGATTGCTAATATTAAGAAAGACTTACTCTTTAAAAAGAAAAGAATCTTAAAAACCAATTTCTTAGACAGCATAAAAAACATTTTTAAAGTTTAGGATATTATATCTATAGATCCAGTACTTTTCGCAATTAAGCTATATATGTAAGGACCACCACAGTGTTCTAATTGTCATATTCGGGGACATACTAGAGCCAGGTGTCCTAATCCCCTTAGCAATTAGTTTTTATATAGAAATGCAATTGTTTGATTGGTAGAGGCTCTAGTATTTAGCCCGAGGGCAGAAATTAGCAGGAGGTGGCTCGCTCGACCGGGAATAAATTTGAGAATTTTTTTTTATAATAATTAATTTTAATAATTATTTAAGCAGTCATTATTATTAGGCTTATAATAAAATTGAAAATTATAAATATCCTCTAATATTATTAATATTATATCGTATTATAGTGATTTATATATAATTAAATTACTTTCTAATGATTTTAAAGTTTATATTCAGTACACTAGTAATTATATTATTGAAAAAGTGAATTTTAATTTTAATATTTAATAAAATTAAAGACTTAGTTCTCTCTAGTATACTAGTTAAATAAATGTAATATCATACTTGGTAAAAAAATATTAGCTATTTTATATATATAAGATTATCAAGGAAGTGCTCTATGTTAATCTAATAATAGAATTTATTATATAATTCCTCTTTATATTAAACTATTTAATAGTTATTAATATGTATTTCTACTACTAAAATCACTTTAGGCCTTTTTAAGTCTTCTGTAATAGTTAATTATCTAATAAAATCTTTTTTATTTTTAAAGTTGCTCTTTATTAGAAGTGTATATATAATATATAATAATATTCTTTATATATAAGAATAAGCGTATTACATTAAGATATAATTTATAACGTAATTAACCGCCGAACCGTGGATTTTTCGGCATGGCCACCACCACTTTGTGAAGTTATTCGGCCACCAACACCACTTAATTAGACTAAATAAGTATGATAGCTATTTACTAGGGCAATTTCTTATATATGACTGATTATTCCACAGCCACTGCAGCATCGTGGAGCTCATCAATAAGGCATAGAAGTAGATTCCTCGGGTTACTTATTAAGCTGCATATTAAGTTACTGGACCTACTTTTGACCTTTTTATACAGATAAGAATATGTTATTGCCTAATATAGCATGCTATCTTGCTTTTTTTTCTCATATTTAGTTTACAAATTCTTGATTTCTCACTATAAAAGAAGGTTAGTATGTATTATTATTTAGATAGTCTTTTTAAGCTATTAAATATAAATAATAAGAGTATTAGAACTTTTTTACTTTGTATTAAGACCATTCTGCAAACTATGTATCTTATAATTTAACTGATAAATATTTTATAATGTTTAAAAAGCAGAGGAAATTAAGCCTTTATCTAACAATAGTGTTGGCATATATAATTGAAAGGTAAGCTTGGAAAGTATATATTCTTGATTAAATAGCTTAAGCTCCACTCTTATAAAACTACTATGGATATTTGCTCAAGTACTTTAATAATGTATTAAACCACTGAGCTGTCGATTTCCCCCCTTTTCCACCACCCCTAAAAATTAATGCCTTTTCAACCACAACAACATTAACGTTTATTGAAAATAGATTTATCTCATGAATCTAAGCTGCAGATAGCTATTTCAGCCTATAAAAAGGGTCAGTTTAAATCAAAAGCAGCAGCAGCGGAGGTTTTTAAAGTCTTAAAAAGAAACTCTCTATAATTGGCTTTATGGAATTGAACCACATACGGAAAAGTGTGCAAATAGCCATAAATTATCAATTTATGAAGAGGAAGTCTTTACTAAGCACCTGCTAGAAACAAATAAAGAGGCTTTTTAATCTGATTATAGAATAGCTCAGATTCTACTCTAAGAGTGTATACACAGTTCAACCACAACACTTGGTGTCAACTAGACATACAAATTCATTAAATGCCATCTAGAATTAAAGACAATATATAATTGAAGAATTTTATATTAATATATGAATTAAGAAGATCTAAGAGTGATAAAGCAATAGTTTAAGACTGTTTTGAAGATTATTCAGAATCATAGAATACATGAAGATAATATTTAGAATTTTAATGAAACTAGCTTTATAATAGGGCTTCATATAATTTTTAAAATTATTACTGTTATTAAATGCAGTAGAGACCATATACAGTTATTTAAAGAAATAAGGAATAAGTAACAATTATTAAATGTGTAAGTTCTAGAGGAATTGCTATTCCTCCACTTATTATTTTAAAAGGAAAGAAACACCAGGTTGCTTAATATTGAGAGCCTAATCTTTATTTAGTATTACTAAATGATTGTAAATAACTCTAATAGCTAGATAATAGATAAAATAAGTCTAGCTTAGTTAAAGAATATCTTTATCTTTAAACTTTTTTTAAGATTATGTTCTATTGGAAGCAAAATAGCTTCTTATTTTTAATAGATATTTAAATTATAATACTCTTAAATTTGATAAATTCTGTAGCAAATTATTGAATTATCTGTCTTTATATATCTTTATATATATCTTATCTTCTTCAACCTCTAGATGTTGGTGTCTTCAGGCCATTAAAAAAGACATATAGGAAGTTGATTAAGAGGTTGATAATAGCTAATAACAATTATATTGATAAAAAACTATTATATATTTATTCCTCAGCACGCAAGGAGGTCTTTAAGAGAAATATATGTGGTGGCTTTGTTGGAGCTAAGCCTTAGACCTCTTAATAAAGATAAGAGTTTTTAAAACAATCACCTTTTAGTTCTGTACACCAACACCACTACTTATTACCACTTTTTTTATCCCTTTTTTTTTTCCCTATCTCTATATATATTCCTCTCCTTATTTCACTATACTTTATCATCAATCATATTTGTCAACATATTTCTATCTTCTCATTTCTTATACCTTTTTACTATCTACAAAATATCCCTCCACTCTATTCTTATCCTTATCTCATATTATTTACTACATACTTTATTCTACTATCTCTGTGACCCTTATTATCTGACTCTTACATAGCAAAGCCTATTTATGTCCTTAGCTAGCTGACCCAAATCCTCCTTCAGAAGGGGGTAGACCGTGCATAGTCTTAGACTGAAAAATGGTCACTAAAATGAAAGTCATCATCATCATCATCATCACCGCTACTTATTAAAGGATCAGTATCTATTTCAGCATTCAAAACGCCTCAGAATACTCACCAGCTTAATTTTAAGATTAAAAGTCTACAGAAGAGTCTTCAAAAGAGAAATAAGATCCTGTCTAGCAGTCTTATTTCTTATATTTAACACTTTAAGAAGGCTGCATAGATGGCTATGAATATAAATCTGTTTTTTTACCGAGAAATCAGTATTCTATGGGCAGAGAATGAGTGGGGAAAAAAAAAGAAAAAGGTGAGAAAACAGCTTCTCTAAGAAATAACCTCTTCATATCTATATAGGATAGTCAGGATTATGTTCAACAGCTTGCTAGGGATAGCAACACTTATATTAATGAGATGCCTCACCAGCAGGCACCACCTCACTGTAGTGGCTGTGGTATCATTAGTCATACCACAAGAAGCTGTTTTGCTAAATAGCTATATAACCTACAATTTTCAATAAAAATTAATGGTGTTGGTGGTTGAAAATGCATCAATCTTTAATGGGTGGTGGAAAAGGGGGAAAATCGGCGGCTCGGTGGTTGAATACGCTATATATAGAAATATATGTATTACACACTTCTAATGAGAAGCAGCTTCAAAAGGAAAAATATTCTATCAGACAACTAGCTACTGCAGAAGGCTTCACTATTTAGAAAGGCCTAGAGTAATTTCAGCCTGAGAAGGAGGTCTCTGAAGCTTAGGATACTATGCCTGTAGATCCAGTGCTTTCTGCAGTTGGCCCACATGTATAAGTGCCACCACAGTGTTCTAATTGTCATATTTAGGGACATACTATAGTTAGATGTCCTAATCTAATTAGTAACTGTTTTTATATAGAAATGCAATTGTTTTGTTGATAAGGGTTCTAAAATCTCACCTAGGGTGGAAATCGGAGCGGAGGTGGCCGCTCGTTTGTGGAATACGCTAGTTTAGGATTAACACTACCCGCTGAGCGCAGATAGGACCCAGACCCTGCTTTAGTACATACTGAGGAATCCTGTATAGCGCTGCACTATGGGGCTTGGCTGTGCCGGCGCTTACAGTGAGAATAAAAGATAATTGTCAGCTCAATTAGAGCATCAAAAGGTATTGGTTTTGAAGGAGTTGAACACCTAAACGTAGGGGTCCGTTTGGTCAGGAGACGGATTCTAGTTGAAAATTGGTCCGTAAATGGAGTCATCATTATGATGATCATCACCATAATCAACTACCTAGATAGCCCAAATAGCATTATATTTTTTTTCTAGATTTGAGCGTGGTGACAGCTTATGACAGTGCATTCGACACATCCTTTTTATTAGTGATAAGTAGGGCTTAGGGTTACATGTGCTTAGGGCACTTACAAGTGTACCAATTGTTTTTTTCCGTTCCGGTAGCTGTATGTGTGTGGGCCGAACCTTCCCGAGCTAGGAAACCCATCTGAATTTCGACAACTTCAGCATAGTGATTTTCCAAGCTACGAAAACGATCAATGCACAGAATGTCACTGCAAGCAATTAAATACTCTGGACATCAATTGGCCATACTTGACCAACTGCAACTCCCATATGTGGAGAAATACATACCAATACAGACAGCAGAAGAAGGATGGCATGCCATCAGAGAAATGCGGGTGAGAGGAGCACCTGCTATTGCTATCGTGGCTGCACTGGCACTCGCATCTGAGCTCTCTACCCTCATTACAGAGAATAAACTATCTCCAATCGCGGAAGACGTTCGGGTCTTCATCACTGAGAAACTGCAATACCTTATGACGAGTAGGCCGACAGCCGTTAATCTGGGCGATGCCGTTCGCAAACTCGAGACCACAGTAGCGAAGCATGCAAATAGGGAAGACTCCACAGGCAACAGTGTCGCTTCCGCTTTCATCCTTGCAGCAGAAGATATGCTAGCGAAGGATCTGGAGGATAATCATAACATCGGGCAAAATGGTGCAGCGTGGATTGTAAGGAATGCTATTCAACCCGGAAATGCAAAGGCCGCCATTCTCACACACTGCAATACAGGGTAAGTTCCAGAAATTCCAGATATGAACCTCTCTGACATGTATCACGTTACCGGTAGTTCTCTAGCGACCGCTGGGTATGGCACAGCTCTGGGTGTAATCCGCTCACTTGCGTCAGGCAATGCCCTGCTACATGCATATTGCACGGAAACAAGGCCCTACAACCAAGGATCTCGTCTGACGGCCTTTGAGCTAGTCCACGACCAGATTCCTGCCACGCTGATCACAGATTCTATGGCGGCAGCATTACTGGCTAGTGATAAGATAAATGCTGTTGTTGTAGGAGCTGATAGGGTGGCTGCTAATGGGGACACGGCAAACAAAATAGGAACCTATGGCTTGGCTGTTCTGGCGAGACACCATAATGTGAAATTCCTCGTAGCGGCACCACGCACGACCATTGACCTGGCAACGAAGTCAGGCAGCGACATCGTGATAGAAGAGCGCCCCGCTTATGAGGTTACCAGGATGAGAGGACCTCGTGCAGGGGAAGACACAACGGGGGGTGTGAGAATGGAGACAATATCCATTGCTGCTCACGGCATTAATATTTGGAATCCGGCGTTCGATGTCACCCCTTCCACTCTCATTGATGGCATCATAACAGAGGTTGGCGTGGTGGAGAAGGCTCCAGATGGATTGTTTCACCTGGATGAGCTATTTTGATAATTTCCTGGAACCCGAACCACTCTGAACAATGTTAAGGTAGACAGTACGGTACAGTGCAAGGCCCATGAATAACACCTCGAAGCTGATCTCATCTAAAGACCAACACCAATATTCATTGCGAACCTAGTTATTTGTACCATGGCATTTGTTGGACTGGCTAAACCCCAGAAAATGTGACATTTCACAGTTGGACATCGTTCGTCAATAGTCTTACCTCTTCACCAGGCTTAAAAGCTGGAAGACCAATGTAAGGGCAACCGTCACAGCGGAAAGCATCCCCCAGTGCGCAATTTCCGCAGCTACCGACCTTTCCTTGCACAGTAAAATCAACTTCTGCCAGATCATTGCGTTTCAGTTTCATAGAATTTAGCTCTCTATCCGCATTGGTACGTCGTATTGCATCCTCCTCCTCGAGCTTCTGTGCAAGTCCACAGGTGCAGTCTTTACAGGCTCTTCGGCGTTTCCCAGCCTTCGGCCGACATTCTGGCGCTAATTAATTTCGTTAGAAACATCTAATCGTTCAAGCGCCAGCTTCAAAAGAGCGTCTTTAAGCAGATCGTGAAAATAGCACGATAGAGAAAGTAATTTTTCGCATTATAAAGCATTGCAAGCCATTAGTCTGAAAGTACTTACGTTGGATAATTGGCTGGCCCATGTCGCTTTCATCGAGAATGCCATTTTCATCAATGAGCCCACTATCAGGGCGCCCTGTGCCCGTGTTATCTGCCACGGCGACGACAAAGTCATCGGCGAAGTCGATAAAGCTGCTGGCATGAGTTTGGCCTGTTCCCTTGTAGCGATTGCTCTCGCGGGCTGCTTGAGATGCTGTCTTTAGCTGTTGTATAACTGCCTGGCCATTTTCTATTGCCATTTTCTTCGGCTTCTTTGCTCCAACCCGCAGGGGCACTGAATGCTGGTCGCCAAAATCTGGTTTCACAAAACCGCCACTTTCATCACCAACAAGTCCTGCAAGTATGGCCTCTGTTCGATAGATGTCTCCCTGTAACCCATTTGTTCCATTTTGACTGCATAGGCGGCCTCCTGGTTTAAGCGACTCGGCAATTTTCCTAAGCACACCGCGTTCAGCGAGCGCATGAACTTCACGATATGAACCATCAGCATCGGCCAAGAATAAAACTCTGTCGTATTTCGACGGCGGTAAAGATACAAGGCCGAAAGCTAGACGGTCGAGCATTTGCAAGTCGGTTGTGCTGGAGTCATATTGTGAATAGATGATGCTCTCTAGTGTTTCCGGACGTGAGGATAGTGACGGCGGAGATAGCAGTAAAGTCTGCCCCACTGGCTTGGATGATGCAGGAGGCATCAGTAATGAATGACCAGTATTGATTGTACAATAGTTGAGACGGGAATAAAATTAGTGAGATACTATCGGTGGGGAGGCCTTAATACAGTGGTTGTTGTAAAGAAAGTGAGGACTCAAGTAGTATATCTCTCAATCACTACCCGTGCCAAGCGCACCTCCCCAGCACGAAAATTTCTTACATTCCTACTAAATCCACCACAACACCACCAAAATGGCAGATGAATATAAAGAAGACTAAGTATTGGCAGCATGTGAAGAATTCAAATCAAACTTAAAAGCCAAATTCATCCCCAAATTAGCTGCTAAATATGAAGTTCCTTACCAGTGACTCCTTGTCACGACACTCAAATCTAGAAAGGATGGAGAATGCTATTCAGCTATCTAGGCAGCTATTTGACGAGAAGATCAATCATGGAGAAGAAAGGAAGATCGGTACGGTACAATGGCCAGAAAGTATCTCCTTCATGAGGATATAACGTATTTCACTAGTGAGTGTCCACACAAACGAGTGTTCCACAACCTGCCAATTCCCGCCTACGGGCTAAATTTAAGGGCTTTATCAACCAAACAATCGTATTTCTATATAAAAATTAATTACTAAGTGGATTAGGACATCTAACCTAGTATGTCCCCAAATATGGTAATTGGAACACTGTGGTGGCGCTCATACACATAGCCCAACTGCAGAAAGCACTGGATCTATAGAAATAATATCCTGAACTTCCTGAACCTCATTCTCATGCTGAAATCACTCTAGGCCTTCCTTTATAGCTGAACCCTCTACAATAGCTAGCTGCCTATTAGATTATTTCCACTTTTGGCCTTCCCATTTATTATTAGTGTGATATTTGCAAATTTCTTTCATAAAAACAAGCTTATTAAGAGTCAATTCATGACCTTTAATAATCTTGTCTAATCATGCTTCTAACAAAGGTAAAAGGACTTTGAGTATGTTCCCTAAGCAGTTTTCTTGCTGCAGATGCTTGCTTCTCCAGCTGCCTAGTAGTATAGAGTATTTTAGGTGCGGAATCAGTTGATTGACTGCCAGGTGGTGTAGGGATATTTAGTCAGGTATTGTGCCGGGGGCACTGCGAAACCCTGGATCTCCCATATTTCCTCCTATCTTGGAACACCGTAGAACCGCGGACTCCGACATACTAATGTATGGTGGAGCCCGCGGCCGGAGTACTTAATGGAGGGTTCCCTCCCGGATAGTTACGAGGAATAGAGCATTCTTTTGGTTTCTAGGTTGCTTCACTAGTATCGTTGTCGCCGTATAGAGCGGAGCGAGGCTCCTTCGTCGTTGTGTTTCCTTTCATCGTTATATCGTTTTCTTGCTAAGATCGTTCGGTGCCGCGTGGTATAGCGGCATCGCCTTGGTATATCCATTCCTGAGATCCCTCGATCACAACCCGGTTCCTGTCGCAGGGAACAACGCACGTACGCCCCCCTTTACAGTATCCAACTTGCTAAGCACCCTATCTGGATTAAATGGGACTAGGCCAGTAATTGTAAGGCTATTTTTTAAAAAAAACCAATCTCTTCCTGACCAAACTGACCCCTGCATTTGGGGGGTCAGAACCCACAAAACCTATATCATTTTGAAGCTCTCACTGAGCCGAATACTTACCTCTATTTTCAAACCCCATCACACTATCTACCCTTCGAAATCCCCAGCAAAAACCACCCAAATCCCCCTGAGGAGTTTTTCATGCGGCAGGAAGCTTAGCAGGCAGCATAGACTAACTGCGCAACTGCCACTCAGCTGCCAACCACTATACCTACCAACTGCCCTACCTACCATACTGCTGAATCGCACCGCCTCCTGCCAAATGAACCCTGTCCCAACAAGGGAAGAAATAGTTAAACAAGGAACCTATATTAGCTGCTCTGAGCTTAGTCCCTGCATGATCTACTATATCTATATATATATATAACCTACTAGACCATTAACTGTTCTAGGAGCTTAGGTAAGTTAGCTAGGCTAAAGATAATACTTCCTGGTATAAGAAGTATAGGGACCCTCTAAATCCTTATTCCTAACCAAAGAGTGGTTCCTGGCAAGCCCCCTCTAAAAGCTTCCATTGGTTTAGTGAGTCCCTATAAAAATTACTATTTAGAATATATCTAAATCACCTACTCCTATTATCCTGTATCCCCCAATCCTCTTATACTTAGAAAGAGAAGTATCTTAACCCCCTTAATAGGCCTACCTTTCTTCCTTTTATAAAGAAACTAGACTTTAGGCTAAGGGATATCCCTAGGTTTTTTACTAGGGAAGATATCTTTAATAAAGATATCTCTCATAATGAAGCTATTTAAGATGAATAGAATTGATTCTTAAGAGAAAGAGGCTCCAAAGAAAGCTTCAGAAAAGAAGAGCCACCTTTTAAATCTAAAGAGAAAGAGCTTATTTATATAAAGCTAGGGCATCCCTCCAATAAGCCCTAAAGGGATATAAGATAAAAACCAAGATACCTTCTCTTAGCCTATCTAAAAGGCTATCTAGATAGTAGAAAGGATATTACCTTTTACTTTAGCTCTCCTTCTATCTTATCTCAACTAGTAGCCTAGTCAGGTAACATCCTAGGACCTAGCTATAGGAGGTATTTATTAAAAGCTTAATCAGATCTTTAAGAAGCTAGACCAACCTTCTTAGCACTCTACCTATGCTTAAGTAGCTAAATAAGGCCCTACTATCTCTAAGCCTAGTCCTAAGGGCTAGGTCCAAGTGGTAATTCCAGTAACACCTGACTTAAACTTACAAGAATTCTAACTTATAGAAACTACTCCTATGGCTATTTTTATTAAGGCGAAGCTAGCTAAGGGACTAACTTATGGAGCTAAAGAGAGAAGACTTATCCTCTTAGTGTCAGGGCCCTTGCCATGTAGACCAGGACGAGCACGTGAGCTTCCTTACTTGGATTAGCGTGGCGCGTGGATAGGAGTACGTCGTCCAGCTTCACGTAGATCTCTTCCTTTTTCCCTCCTCTCCATGCTTGAAGTTCTAGTCGATAGCTGCCTAGATAGTTGAATAGCATCCTATTCATCGTCTAGTTGAGTTCCGTGACACTTAGTTACCTTACCCTATTTAGACCAACTAAACATAAGGCTGCTTAAGGACTAAATCAATAATCAATTTTAATACTAGCTAGGAATTAAAGGGGCAGTAGCAATAGGAGTAGCTAGATCTAAATTTTAATTATCTCTAATTCTTACTACCCTCCCTGACTATCCAGCAACATTTCTAGTAGAGTAAAATATATCCTCATACTTAAATCAGTTGCTTAAACTATCAAGGCCACTAGTGATCTTTCTACATATTAAGAATATCTAGAAAGGCAGAGGGTTTAGCCTAAGGCTAAGCTCTATTATAAAAACATCTTAGTTAACCTATCTTAGGCACTAAGGCCCTTACTAGGCCTAGCTTCCCTATATTAGATAACTTATAAAGATAGTGTCAACCCTCTGAAATCTAATTCTTATAGAATAATATAGACAAGAGTCAAAATAGCATGCTTAGCTACCTTAAGCTAGGCCTAAAGCTAAAGGTGGACTTTATCTTATTTCAAAAACTATAAGTACACTCACTGATCTATACTATTATCTTAGACCTATTATATACTACTAATATACTAGAGAAAACAGATACTAGGCCTTATTCTAAATATCTTAAAGACTAGTATCCCTAATCTACTGCTTATTAATATTTATAATAAGTATCTTCTAGAAGATGAAAGATCTGATTAGACAATAAAGAGAGCTCTCTCTTAGCTTATACCCTCCTAGAATAGTATTCTAAGAGGGGACTTTAATGCCTATTATTTCTGGTGAAATTCTGAGATAATCTCACTAATTAGGGCTAAGGTCATAGTAGAATGGTTTTAAAGATAGGATTTTAAATGGTTAAATAACTCTACTAAGGGGACCTTTTTGGAAATAGGATGGTAAATGCCTTTATTATTATATTAATTTAACCTTTGTTTCACCTAGGCTAAATAAATTATCAGGTTCAAAGGGAAATAGACACTGAATCCAATTTAGGATCAGCTTATGAAACTATATATATTTCTATCTTGTTAAAAGATTAGGTAGAGAACCTTCTTCTAACTACATCCTTTAATTTTTAGAAGGCAGGTTAGGAGCTATTTAGCCAAGTATATCTAGACCTATAATAAAAAGTATATAAATCTAGGCTATCCCCTGATTTAGAACCTTATGATATTTTAAAAAGAAGATATAAAATATAAATCTTTGAAATTTTAAAGAATGATTCAGCTAGCTACTAAAAAGGGGATTCTTAAAAAGAGAATTTCTTCTAGATATAAGGCCTAAGACAGAGGACCTTACTAAGCCAAAGAAGGCCTTAGGGATAACTAGAAAGCTTTATAAGGGTGACCCTATCTTTTAGAATTATGAAGCCTTTCTTGGGCAAAGAAATAAATATTTTTAAGAGATTAAGCTAGCTAAAACTAGCTGCTGGAATTCCTCCCTTAAAGAGGCTTAGAATAATAAGATCTTTAAGGCCTTCTCCACTATATTAAGCAAAGGTAGGTCCAAGGGCTTCTTATTCTTAAATATAACAAGTATTTTCAGAAAGGTGACTGCAGTCACTCCCTGAAGAAAGCTTATATCTTTCTAGGCCTTACCTAGCTTAGAACCTATAGATTAGTCTATATATTAAGCTAAATTGGGAATGGCCAAGAATTAAAGGGAAAGAGGTTAAAAAGGTCATTTTCTCAAATTCTATTTATAAAGTATCTGGCCCTGGTGATATCTCTTTTAAAATCATTTAAAAATATATCAAAACTTATTTAATAAATTTAATAAACTCTACTAGCACTTTCTATAGAAAATATATTATTTTAGATATTAGAGAGTAGCTAAAGAGGTAGTCTTAGGAAAATTAGCTTTAATCAAAAAGGATTAGACTAGACTTAAGGCATATAAAATTATCTCCCTTCTAAACTGCCTAGGAAAGGTCTTTGAGAAGATCTTAGCAAGAAGACTAGCCTATTTAATAAAGCTCCTAGGATCTAAGCTATCATATTATAATTAGATAAGAGATAAGAT